ATCTTTCATTGATAACTGCAGGGCCCGAATGCCATCTTGAAAATCATCTGTCCATTTCTGCAGTTGAACTGGTTAATTCATTAGAAGGCTTTAAAGGAATATAATTTTTTCCCATTGTTGTATTATTTTTGCTTCCTGTAGGTATTTTGATATTTTCTTTATCAGCCATTTTTATTTTTAATTTTAGAATTTTTGTCTCTTGGACTTGGTCCTCAGATGTCATCACTCTTTGGGCTCTACTAGGTATATGGACTGGACCATCTGACTCTGGGGCACTGCAGGTCCCAGGCACAGCCAGGGATGCAACTCTGCCTGGAGCACCTCGGTATTGCTCAAGTTGCCACTGATGCCTTACACTGGTACTTTTCTTCTTTTATACTAGTGTTCTGTTACTGTAGCAAAGTAACCAACATATCAATTTAACAAGGAAAAAGAGTTATTTTGTCTCAAAACTTGCAGTTTTCAGTCCATGGTTGGTTGACTACCTTGCTTTTGGGTCTGTACTGAGACAGTACATCAAGGTGGGAGCACATGACAGAGTTAGTTGCCCACCTGGCAGTGGCCAAGAAGCAGAGAGACAGAGAGGAGGAACCAGGGTCTCAATACCCTCTCGGAGGGCATGCCCCAGTGAACTCACTTCCTTCCACTCGGCCCCACTTCCACAGGGTTCCAGCATCTCCCAGTAGCACTCCAGGCTGGGACCACACTTCAACCCATGACTCTTTGGGGGAACTTCAAGATCCAGACTTACAGCAATTTTCATCCTATTTGACTATCTCTGTATGTTAATTGGTAAGTTTGCTATTTATTATGATTATTGATGCTTTTAAAAACCATTCTACTTTGTGTATTGTATTTATTTGATTTTCTATGCTTTCTTCCCTTCTTCCTCTTCCTTCTTTTGAAATTGCTTGATTTCTTTGTTTTTCCTTAATCTAGTTCTTTTTGTTGTTTTGGAAGTGAAATATTTTACTTCCATTCTTCTGGTAGTCCACCTTTTGAGTGCTTAGAGCATACATACACATTTTGTGTAACATAACTTTAGTTAATATTTGATCTCCCTTTTTGAACATTTGAAAACTTTAGATTATTTTAACTACAATGATCCCTTCTGAATTAATACCACTGTTATCCCATATTTTAGTTAGCCCTTTAAAAATTAACCCAGAAAAACAAAGTTACTGTTTATGTAGACAAAGTTTGTTTGGATTTATGTGCATTTAAAAAATATTTCTTAGTTGTAGGTGGACACAATACCTTTATTTTATTTATTTATGTGGTGTTGAGGATCGAACCTAGTGCCTCATGCATGCCAGGTGAGTGCTCTACCACTGAGCCACAACCCCAGCCCAGATTTATGTGCATTTTTACCAGGTGCCTTACAATTTCTTCTTGCATCTCAGTCCTTCCTTTTAGGACAATTTCCTTCTTCCTAGAGTTTGTGCTATAGATGTTCCTTTAGGGAAGTTTGGTTGGTGGTTGGCGTTCCTGAAAATACCTTTATTCTTTCTTTCTTTTTTGGGGGGGTGGTGGTTCTGGGAATTGGACCCAGGGACATTCTACCCCTGAGCTATATCCCCAGCCCTTTTTATTTTTTATTTTGAGACAGGGTCTGACTAAGTTGTTGAGTCTGGTGTGGAACTTGTGATTCTCCTGTCTCAGTATCTTGAGTTTGAGTTGCTGGGATTAAAGGTGTGTGCCACTACAGTGTGAAAATGCCTTTATTCTTAATTTTTTTTTTTTGGTACTGGGGATTGAACCCAGGGGTGCTTAATCACTGAAATACATCTGCAGTCCTTTTTATTATTTTTAATTTTTAGACCGGATATCACTAAGTTACTTAGGGTCTCACTAAGTTGTTAAGGCTGGCTTTGAACTTGCAATCCTCCTGCCTCAGCCTCCTGACTGGCTGGGATTACAGTGTATGCCACTGCACCTGGCTGAAAATGCCCTTCTTCTTGAAAGATAGGCTTGTAGGGTTCACAACCCTTGATTGACCATTATAATGTCTTGGCAGTTGAAGATTCCATTCCACTGTCTTCCAGCTTCTTTTTTGCTACAGAGTCCACAGTCAGTCTAACTATGATAACTTTGTGATACTGTGAGTGGTCTGGGTTTTTTCTCTGGCTGCTTTGCACAATTTATTTTCATCTTTGATGATACACAGTTTCACTGTAATGTGCCTGGGTAAGGATATATTCTAATTTTCCACTTTGGTTGTATGGGTGTATGTGGCAGCACATACCTTTATCTGTGGGTTCATGCCTTATTGGTTCCAGAACATTCTCAGCTGTTATGCCTTTGGGTACTGTATCTACTTTATTATCTACTTCCTCTCTCTTTTTCTCCTGATAGGACTCTGGATATGTTAGACCCTTTTTTTTTTTTCATATTTTATTCTCTTATCTCTTCCTTCCTTCCTCCTTTCCTTCCTTCCCTTCCCTTCTCCTTTCTTCCTCCCTCTCTCCCTGCCTCCCTCTCTCCTTCCTTCCCTCCCTCCCTTCCTTCCTTGTTTCTTTCTTCCTGGGGATTGAACCCAGGGGCACTTAACCACTGAGCCACATCCGCAGCCCTTTTTATTTTTTTATTTTGAGACAGGGTTTCACTAAGTTACTTAGGGTCTCACTAAGTTGCTGCGGCTGGTTTTGAACTTGAGATCCTTCTGTCTCAGCCTCCAAAGTCACTGAGATTACAGGCATGTGCCACTACGCCTGGCTCTCTTATCTGTTTCTACTGTAAACACCAAATTCTGCAATCTACCTTCCAGTTCATTCATTCTCTCTCAATTTGTGTCTTAAGTGCAATTTATCCCATCCATTCAATTTTCCATTCTCATAATTGTAGTTTTTATTTCTGAGAGCTCTATTTGGTTCTTCAAATCTGCCTGTCCTTTTTCTTGATCGTTGAAATATCATGTTTTTAACAAAAAACAAGTGTTGGTGAGGAGGTAGAGAAATCTGAACTCTTGTATGCTAATGTATGTAAAAATCAATGTGAAATGGTGCTAACTATATGGAAAACAAAACGGTGGTTCTTCAAACAATTAAAAGTTGAATTACCAGATGATCCAACAATCCCCACTTCTGGGCATATATCCAAAAGATTCAAAAGCAGGACTTTGAAGAGATACTTACATATTCACGTCCATAACAGCATTATTCACAATAGCTAAACAGTACAAGTAACTCAAATGTCCATTGACAGATGAACAAATAAACAAAATGTGTTTAAAACAATGGAATATTATTCAACCTTATAAAAGAACTTCTGACACCTGCTACATCATGAAGAGCCTTAGGACATTCTCCTGAGTGAAATAAACCAGGCACAAAATGACAAATACTGTATGTTTGCACTTATAAGAGGTACATAGAATAGTCAAATTTATAGAAAGTAGAATGGTGATTGTCAGGTGCTGTGGGGAGGGAGAGGTGAGGAGTTACTACTTACTGGATATAGAGTTTCAGTTTTGCAAGGTGAAAACAATTCTGTGAATGGATGTTGGTGAGGGTAGCACAATGTAAATGTACTTAGTCCATTGAACTGTGCATGTAAAAATGGTTAAGATGGTAAATTTTAGATTATGTGTATTTTACCACAATCTAAAAAAAATTAAATGTTGAAATAGCATTTAATTATTTAAACATTCTGCAAGTTATCATATTGGAATCCCTATAGTATGGTGGTTTACAGCATGCACTTTGTAGTCAAAACATTATGATCAACTTAACTAGTTTGTAACGTCAGGCAAGGTATTTTACCTCATTGTGTCTTCGTCTTTTTTATCCATAACATGAGGATAAGAATAATACTACATTGTAGGTTAGTGTAAGGGTATGCTAGTTTTGCAGTGCTGGGGATCAAACCCAGGGCCTCATGCATTCTAGGCAAGTGCTCCCTCATTGAGCTACACCTCCAGCCCCTGCATCAGTACACTTAGAACAGTGCCTGGCACATGGGAATACTCTATTAATATTATAATTGTTTGATCATCCTGACATCTGAGGTCCTTGGGTTCTAAATTAGCTGTTTATAATGATTCCCACTTATGTCGTGTTTTCTTTTTAAATATCTTTCTGATCTTCAATTGAAAGCTCATATTTGAAGATCTTTGAGAATCCTGAGGCTTTACAAATTGGGGATATTGTCCTTCAGAGGATCCGCCACCTGAGACCCATTTGCCCCCTTCTCTTATATCTGTTACATAGGGGAATCCCGGGTTCAGTTTCCCTGCAGTGGGTCCGGGTTTAGTTCTTATCTAGCTTTGAGAGAGGTCTTTGTCCCTGAGACAACCCAAGATCTTAAGTTTGTTGTTCCCAGATCACCACTTTAGTTTCTGCTCATGGTTCTGATGGCTTTGTTTATTTTTATTTTGTTTATTTGTTTTTTGACTGTTGAGGATTTCCGTCATCTTCTAAGACTCTAGTAAAACATTAACCAGTATATTTTATGAGCCTTCATACTTCTGGAGAAATCCACGGGGCTTCACTCTCCCACATTTTAAGTACAGGCACTTATGAATACTTAGTTTCCAGAACTTAGCTTGGCGACTGCCTCATGCCTGGCAGGTGACACTTTCTTTTTTCCTTCATTTCTTTCTTTTTTAAATAAAAGAACCACATGGAGGGCCTTGTAGGAGGAAGAAATGAGGCCACAGAGGTGTAATATCTCTTTCCAGCCACTTGGGGAGCTCTGCTTGAATGTCACCCTTGAATGCTTAAATTGGCTCTCTCCCAAGTCACAGGGTGTCCTTAGCCCACAGCGGACATCAGGCAGACAGAGAGGGAAGCGGGAGAAGCCTATGTGGGGAGGAGATGCCCTGGCGTCCCCAGGTGCAGCTCGCTGTTGCCCCCACTTAGCAGATCTGGTCTCCATGTCTCTGTTTCTTGTGCCTCTACTTTGAGAAGTAATTGTCTCCCCAGGACCTTTTCATCCCTAGGCCAAAGAATTAATGCCTGATGGTCCTAGCTCCATTCTTATCAAGCAGCCCAGCAAACGTGTACCAAAGATACCATCATTTAATGACAACGACTCTTAGAAGTAACAATAATAACACCTGTAGGTAACAGTAGTCACGCCAAAGGTAGGATGGTGCATTTACATTACACCTGGTTTCTTGTTCCGGTGGGCTTGGGAATGGGTGGAGAAGGGAGAGGGCTGGCCAGACCCTCTTCTCCTCCTCTCCAGCCTGGTTATCTGGGAAGAGCCCTCTTCCATTCAGTAGAGGGGGAAAGTTCCACCTGAGTTAGCAGTGCCTCTGAGACCTCGGTGCATAGCTGGCTCCGTTCAGCGGGCTGCATCTCTCCCTGGGATTCTGGAAGCACTGGGGATGACTGAGCTAGGGCAGCTGCCTTCCTTCTGGGTGTCTCTGGGGTGTGAGGGTCTTGCAGGAACGGAGGCCGTTTGCTGCTCTAGCAAATGCCAAGGCCGTGGGTGGAGAGACAAGCCCCAGTGTGGGACTTCTGGGGGATCCCCAGTGGGTAGGACTGGAGAGAAGCAGCTCTGAACGCTGCAGAGGAACAGCAGCCTTACATCTCAGACTAGAATGAAAGAGCGACAAAGGGAAAGTCAGAGGAGTCGAAACTTGACATCGTGATGACAGGGGCAGAGTTATCTTCCTCTCTGCACTACTATGCTCTCTTTATAGTCTCTAGGGACCAGGAAGTCTCAGAAACCTTTCCACCCTCTTCCTTATCACAATCTTTCCCTGGAAAGGATCTGATAGTCTCCTTCTGTTAGGAAACAGTGATAAAGCTTGATAAAGTGGATGTGTTCCATGCCCTAAGGCACTGGCAGTTAGCAGGAATCTCTGACCTCAGGAATTTCAGCCTTAATGAAGGAATCTCAGGCTATCAGCTTGTTGGGAAGGGAAATTATGTGGGAGGCAAAAGGTTGTCGGGATCACTTAAATCTAAGGATGGTTGGTGCTCTCATGGTAGAGGAAAGAGGGAAGTCACCCTGGGTGGGACGAATGTGCTCACCTTCCACACACTGTAGATCCAGTCGAGATAGGCTGTGACCTTGGTGTACACTCCTGGGGTACTTGGGCCCCCACAGCCATGTCCCCAGCTCACGATGCCTACCACCTTCCAGTGGTCAGACTGGTACATCAGGGGTCCACCACTGTCACCCTGTGAGAGGCCAGAACAGGGGTTGCTGGGGAGGGTGGCCAGGGGCTGGCTTCCTTCCTCCTGGTCCTGCACTTTCCAGCACTCTCTGCCATTCTGCCCTCAGCCCCCTTGCTCCTGCCCGACCTGCATCCAGAAGTGCTCTTCTCTGCTGGAGCAAAAAGGTCTGTTGGTGGTCAAGTAAATCGTGGGCATGCAGTGAGCCTTCTCCAGAGGCCCTAACTTACACCAGCAAACTGAAGGCTGAAAAGGACCCGGGGGGAAGGAAGTTGGGTTTTCTTTGTGTAATGTGGTAGTTCTAGAGTTTAATTAACCACTTATGGAGTGACTATTTTGTGCCTGGGCAATTGGGATTCTATTAGTTAAAGGAAAGAAGGAAGGAAGGAAGAAAGGAGGGAAGGAAGGAAAGAAAGAAAGAGAGAGAGAGAGAAAGAAAGATCCCTGCTCTTAGGAAGCTTAAGATCAAATGGGATGAGGAGCATCAAAAAGCAAGTAAGTAACAAATGACAAGATGTCCCTTCTCTGAACCCAATAACACTACAGCCTGTTTGTGATGTCCCCACCACCACTGTGAACTCCTTGAGGGCAGACACTGACTCTAAAGCCCACCATGTTGGTGGCACACAAGAGATGACCAAGAGATGCCTCTTGAAGGCAGGATTTAATGACTGGGAATGGGATTGGAGTAGGTTTGGGGAGTTTTAATGAAAATGTTCTGAAGACCTCCTGGAGGTGTGGGGTAGTAAAGTTCTAGTAAAGTTCAGCAGTGGAGAGACTGTCACAGAGAGAAGAGATCTGGGGTCCCTATCTTCATGGACCTGTAGATGATACGTAAGGGTGGGTGGGGAGGATGAGGAATGTCATCTTTGTGTGAGAGATGGACATTCGAAAGCTTGCTATTTATCTGGTCTGTCCACCCACCCACCCACATTCTTAAATCTTCATGTTCCTTCCTTCCCTCCCTGTCTCCCTCCTTCCCCTCATCACGCTGAATGCCCACCACATGCGAGATTTCGTATTAAGCCTTCAGCCTCTGGGGGTTCATATTTCTCCAGGATGTACCCCCCCTAACCACAGAACTCCACATGACCCTGGGAGGCCCCACCTGGCAGGTGTCCACGCCACCTCCTGGGACGCCTGCACACAGCATCTTCTCAGTGACTTCTCCCTGGTAGGCATCATCTGCATTGCACCGGGTGTGGTCAATGACCTGGACTGACGCCTGCAGCAGTGTGTCAGACATCTTCCCTGGGAGGTGAAACACACTCACACTCTCATTCTTGCCGTCTACCCCCAACCCAAGTTCATTCTCTGCATCACTAGATCTCTTTGCTTTATACCTGGAACCTTGGTGCTTGGTCCTCCAGGATGGGCTTTTCTGAAGGATGGGCCGCCTTCCCATCACCCCTTGGGAGCTGCTCTCTCATACAAGGTTATCTCTTGCCCTATGTTCCTGAGTCCAGGACTTACCACCATTCTGCTCGGTAAAGCCCCAGCCGACGACCCAGAGTTGGGTGGCTGGAGCAAGCTCCTCATCAAAGAAGGGCAGGCAAATGGGCCTGATTGTACCTGCCAGGAGTGGAGAGGAAGAAGAGATCCCAGCTTCATGACTTTTAAAATTTTCTGTTTTAGGATGCTTGGGCTGGGGATCTTGCCCATCTCTCTTGTGGGAGAGACTGGATTAGCTCATTCTTAGAGATGCTAAAGCCCTGGCCTGTGGACACACCTTTAATATGAAAACCAACCAATGCCAAGTCTATCCCCCAACCTCCTTTATCTAACTCTCACACACCAAACCAACATTTTCCCCCTCCCTATATCACTCTGGGGCCAGGTACTAGAAACCTAGAGACCAAGCTCCATAGCCCAGACAACTCTTCACACCAGCCAATGCCAAGCTTGCCCAAACGTGCCTACCCAGCCTCGGACTCTGGCCACGCTTTCCCCTCTCTCCTTCTGCCTCCTGACCCGCCCAGGTCCTTTCCTAAGTGGTCCTGCATGGCGAGGTAGGCCCCATCCTCTCAGAAACTGTTAAGTAATAAAGTCTTTGTTCTGAGGCAGTTGTCTCCAGGTCTGACACCTTACCACTCCTGAATAAAACAAATCTCAGGGACAAACTTTGAAACATGACAAGGGCTTAGAAGAGCCTGGTGACTAAACCTTCTGAAAGGGTTTCTTTGACACTTGTTTAGAATCCCATAGAACAGGGCCACCCTCTGGGCTCTGTCCCTTGGTACTACCTCACCTGAGAATGTCAGTGGGTTCTCTAGCTTCATAAGGGCAATGTCCTTCTCTTTGGGGTACAAGGTGTTGTGCTCAGTGATGAAGATCTTGGCCACAGGTAGGGATGGGAAGCTGCTCAATTTTTCTGAGCCGACCCTCACCTTCCAGTTGGACACATCACGATAGTTCCTGGGGACAGAGAAGGATGGCTTCAAGTTTGAGCCAAGCATGAGAAGGGTTTGCCAGGGGCTGAGTCCCCAGGGCCCTAGAGATTAGAGTGCTGAGTGCTGCTGCCTTAGGAGGTAATCTGATGGTGGAGGCAGGGTGGTGGGGAAGGGCAGTCTGAGGAATCACCTTCCCTATAGGGGATTTGATTGTTTTCCTTGGTGAAACAGGCCCAGGAAAATGTCTGCCTGGAGTGCTGAGCTGTGGGGTCCTGGCGCTCTTTATTCCACCCTTGTTCTTGGCTGTGCTACTCACATGGTGCTTACACTGTGGTCAGCGACTTATGGGCTTGTCTTTCATGATTCCCACACCAGACATAGCTTAGTATGTGGCCCCCTCCTCCCCACCAGGAAATGATTTATACCTCTTGTCAGATTCTCAAAAAGCCTGAGAACCCTGGGGCTAGACTGGGAATGCTTGATGGGGTAGCCTTGGAGTCTCTCTCATGTCCTAGGCACATAATCTGGATCTCCGTTCCTTTAGATACTTATGAAATGTTGAATGAATGAGTGAAAGTGAAGGCAGCCTGGGATGGCCCTTTCCCAGAGGTTTGGCAGGCCTCTCTGCTGGACAGAAAGGGAACCTATGTCTGTTCAAGGAGATTTCTGGACATAATGAAGTATGATAGTGATTCTAGACCCTGGTACCACTCCCTGTAAACTGGCAAAGAGGAAGTGAATTCTCAGGACTCCATGTAGGTGGGAAGAGCTTTTGTGGAGTGGAAGATTTGGAGGATGAGGTAGGTATCTGATGGCTTTTCTATCCAGAAATGTCAGACTTGGTACCCAGCACCCTCTGCTCAGGCTTAACAATGGGCATCCTGGCCAGTGTCTCACTGAAGGGTCCACATCCTGGCAATGGTCTCCAGGGCATCAGGAAACAAGCCAGGAGATGCAGTCCCTTCATGGCGTTGGTCCCCCCAGCCTCCTTGCGTTCAGAGCCTTACCTGAAGCAGTGGGCTGCCGTGAGGATCCACTGGGGATCCAGGATGCTTCCTCCACAGACGTGTTGCTTGTTGTACTGGAGGCTGACCTGCCAAGGCCAAGAATCCACAGAGGCCTCCTCCCCGCCCACCACCCGAGGAGCCTTGAGGCTCCTCCCACAGGCTGGACTCCATCGGTAGGAGGGAAAAAGGGGAAGTCAGACTCAGGGGGTTGGGCTGCCTCCTCTGATAGCCTAGTCTACCCTGAGCAGAGCCCTTAGGACTGGTACCAGGAGCCAGGGAGGACCAGGCCAATTCTGAATTGTTCTTAGAGCGACATTGAGTGTTCCAGACCACAGGCTTTCCCTCAGACCTCCCTCTCCTTTTGTTTGACTTTAGGTGTGTTTAGGAGTCTTTATTGTCAACTTGGGTGTGTGCACTGTGCTGGGAATTTATGACCTTCCAACTAAACAGGGATGCAGAGTTATAAAAGTTCCACCCAGGCGCATGTCCCCAGCTGCTCCTGCTGAGTAACAGTAAATACGCCCACAAGCTACTTTGGCACCCGGAAGTGGGAAGAAATTTCCAGAAACTGGATTTTCGTATCTCCAACTCATCTTTCTTCAAGTTTGGCCCCCCTGCTAAGCAAGGCTCCTGATCAGTCATCCTGTCTTTCCCCTGACCGGACCTGGTTTTCCGCATCTGACCTCCAGCCCCCTCCCTGCCTGTCCTGTCCCTTGGGCGGCCCCTGCCACGGTGGTGCTTCCAGCAGGGAAAGGCTGCCACCCTGTCCTGCATGTCTGGCACTGTGCCAGGGGGGCCTTTAGGATACTGTCTGTTTTCAAACCGCTTTTACCTGCCACCTTGCTCACCCACCCAAAGCTCTCTGTTGGCAAGGTTAGAGTTTAAACTCTTTCTTCTGGCAGACTCCTGCTGGATTTATATAAAGTTTCTGTCTAGCCAAATTGATCTGCTTACTGCTCCCTGCTATGATTTGGATTCAGTTTGAATGAGTCCCCTAGAGGTCCGTGTCTGGGAGCTTGGGGTGGTGTTGAGGTGGCGGGAACTCTAAGAGTTGCCACCTTATGGCTCTTAGGTTGTTGGAGAGGCTGCCCTCAGAAGGGATCAAGGTTGTTTTCCTGGGATTCCTGAGTGCTTGTGAAAGCCATTTGTTATAAGAGTAAACCTGACTCCTGAATGGCTCTTGGGCTTTTTGTTTTGAAATATGATCTCTTGTTCCTGCAAGTTCTCCTGTCATTAGCCATCATCTGAAGTTAGATCCTCAAAAGAGGCCAAATCAATGGAGCTGCCTGATAGTCAACCTTCAGCTTTCGAAACTGTGAATTAAATAAACTTATTTTCCTTATAAAGTTAGCCTCCTTCAGGTATGTCATTACAGTAATGAAAAACTAATATCCTCAAGTCATGGGCTGTGAGTAGAGGGTAGAAGATAATTCCTAACATCAACCATTTGTAGGAGCACTGAGCTATAAGCTCAAAGGCTAAAGAATAAAGGTTCGGCCTGAACAGAGTGAAGCTTGGAGTCTGGAAGACTCTAAATGATCCAGATTTAGGAATGCAGAGGAAGGTCTTCCTCCTTGGTCATTCCTACCCAGGTCTCAACCCCTCAGAGATGGAGCATACTCACCAAGGCAGTGCAGGGCAACCAGGGAGCCTGAGAGACAAGGTCTGGAAGAGAGACACAGGGCCCTGTGGGTTCTGCTTCTCCCTTGGCTGGAAGGCAGGGACTCTGACCTTCTGGTACTATTGATTTTTCTCCCACTCCCTGGGAAATCTGGCTCTTGCATGATGGGGGCTGTATAGAAACTGCATTAACACTCAGTACAACCTGATTTGATCCAACAGCCCAGAATTGAACATATACCCTGTGCTGGGTCCTGCCCATTTCAAAGCCCAGCTCAGGCTCCTGGCAGCCTGAGCGAGAAGAGGGCAGAGCAGAGTCCACTGCACTGCGGGCTTTCCAAATGGAAGAAGAATGGGAGTTCAGTGGAATTCTAGGCAAACATCACCCGATTACCAACTCTGTCCTTTTCAAGATTTACTTTGATGAATGAGCAGCCCTCAGTAATTCCCTGGATGCTAAGAAGCCAGCATCCCGTCTGAGCCGCTTTGCTGCAGTGTGGCCGATTGCATTTAGATGCTGTGCTCTAATGCAGGGTGGCAAGGCCAGGGTCATGGAGCACTGCGAACGTGTGGAGGGCCTACTCTGGCCTGGGTGAGTGAGGGTAGGGAGGGATGAAGTGACTTTTGGAATCTTGCCTATTGGGCAATTTATTAGGGCACCAAAGGCAGTAGTAAAAACATTTGACTTTACCATTCAGACTGATAGCAAGACTTTATTCATCCCTCTGCCTTTGGGTAGGAGAGCACGCTTTGTCCAACTATGTATTCGATTAAAAAAAAGTTAACAAAGAAAATCTCTCAGAAAAGTTTTTCTATAGCTCTCAGTGCTGAATGATCTGCTTGGCTGGGAGTTCTTCCTTTTGTCTGGCTTACATGCCTTTTGCTGCTGGTCTGTTCAGGGTGAGCTGGCTTGCATGCTAGACTTTGCAGGCCAGAGGTCTCCTCTCACTTACCCACTTGAGTTCCGCACCTGAAGCTCCTGGCTGTCTTCTATCACTTTAACAACATCCAGATCCTGGTCTGGGCCAATCTCCACAGCTTTGAAAGTGGGTTGGCTGTGGAAGGGAGAGAGCTGTGAGCTGGGGCAGAGACCAGAACAAGATAGTAGGAGCAGCCCTGCTCTCAGGAGAGAGGGTGGCAGAGAATGCCGTTGTGGAGTAGGGGTGGTTTTGGTAAGTGGGATGGGGTCTGATTTGCTGTGCAATAGGAGACATTATCATGACATCCCAGGACTCAGTCCTCGGCAAAACACTGGCCTGACTTTTTTTAGTCCAGAATCTAGAACTTTGGAGAAATAGTAGGGATTTCCCTTTCTAGCTCCAAGCTGTGTGCCTATTTCAAATGGCCTAGTAGTTTCTTCTGGCTCACATCAGGGGAATGAAAGAAGCAAGGAGACCCAGCTAAGCTTCCTCTCACCTTGGAGGGGGTTGGAATGTGGATATCCAGTTTTCCAGGCAGGGCATCTGATCTGACTTTGACACCGGGTGTACATACACAGTCCCTTAGAGGTAGACGGGCCTGGATCTGTCTTGACATGAATCTAGACAACACTCCCCAACTTGAGCTACCCTCCCTCTTTCTGCTAATCCATGTGTGCCCTCTCTCAGACTGTGGGCTAAAGTCTTCCTTCCTCCAGAAAGCCTTCCCTGATCACTCCCATCTCTGTGATTGTTCTTTGGCTGAATCTGCCTCTTCCAAATCTTCCCCTTCCTTCTCCACCCTGTCCTGTTACCATAAAGTCTGCAGATAGGGTGGGGGTCAAGCCATGCCCTGACTGAATGATATATGCTTGGTCAGGAATGCTGCCATTCCCTGGGTGGACCCAGGTACTGGACCCTGGGAGTACCAAGAGCCTGTTTTAAAAGCCCTCAAGACTGAAGTTCTTATGCTGGTCCTGACACTAGTTTGATGTGTCACCTTGGGCAGGTCACATTCCTTCTCTTGGCTTCTCTAAGTCTCAGTTTTCTCCTCTGAAAAGTAGTGGCTGGACCAGATGATCCCCAAGGTCATCCCACCTGGACCACCTATGGTTTTGTGAACCTAGGTCAAGAAAGGCCTCCAGTCCAGGTGGAGGGAAGAAAGTGGAGAGATCTGAGTAGAGAAATCAATCCCAAAAGGAAGGACAAAGCTGGAAATGGACATTCCCAGGAAAGTTAACCAATTACACCCTCATTAATGAACTTTGATTTTGTATAGCCCAAGAGCCAGGTGGTTTGGCGGGCTCCAGAAGGACAGAGATTCCAGGAACATATCATCTTAAGAACCCCAAGAGACATCCGGGTTTTATAATCAAGCCTCAGCCTGCTGCGCTAGGTACAGCTGACACTGCAGTTAGCTGGACTGCAGTGGGGGGGGGGGGCTGGGCTGGGGCAGCTGCAGGAGGAGGGGAGAATAGCAGGTGCCAGGCATGTCCCTGGTCTCCTCAAAACCGAAGGTGGCAGGGGTCCTTTCTAGAGGGCCCTGGGTATTGCACCGCACGGAGGGTAGAGAGCAGCAGAAGCCTGTTAACTAGAGAGCAGCGAGGGCCAGGTGGATTTGTAATGGCTGCCTGGGGCATCTATTAAAAAGGACCTTGAGGCTGCTTTTAGAGTTCTGTGATTGGTTGGCAATATTTTCCTAGTGGTTATAATGTCTGCCTGTCTCTGGGTCAAGTTTCTTAGAATCCTGAAGAAGTTTGGCCTTCCAAGGAGAGGCTATCTCATTCTGCAACTGAATACAGGGGCTGTTTTCCATCCTCTTTAGGTAGGCTCTCCGGTGGCCAAATGTCTCACTTCCCCTTCCATTATAGATGAGGCGAGAGAAATGTACAAACGAGAGTCCCCGACAACACTGATGCCCAGGAACAAGGGCTCTTGGGCAGAGATTCTAGCCCTCTACCTCTCAGCTACTTCCCAAGCAAGTTACTTTCTCCAAGTCTACTTCTAATTTAGATATAATAATAACCATGTTTTTGGTTTTCTGCCAGGCTCAAATGAATATAAATATATATCATGCTAATTACCCTCTTATAATTATGCACCTTCCATTCACTCCAGACTTGGAACTGTGTTTGGAATTTGCTGAGGGAGCTGGGATTGCTGATGATGGGGCCCCAATGAAATCAGGCTCTTTTAAACTAAATTTTAACCAACAAGACTTTGTGTAAGTAAATCAGGCTTTTAGATTACTGGACAGGGGAGGCTTCTTGCAAAGGACAGAGGAGTGAAGATTGAGGAGTAAAGGGAAAGAGAAGATGCAGGGGAGCTGGAGCTGTGTGAGTGTGTGTGAGAAAGTGAGTGTGTTGCAGGACAGTGTGTATGAGTGTGTGCTGGGGGGCAGCTTAGATTCTCTCACTGGCACCCCTCAATCATCCTATGATGTCAGCATTATTTTTCCCAATTAACTCTCTCTCTCTCTCTTTTTTTTCCACACCAGAGATTAAACCCAAAGATGCTTAACCACTGAGCCACGTCCCCAGCCCCCACCCCCTTTTTTTTTAAGAGAGAGGAGAGGGAGAGGGAGAGAGAGAGAGAGAGAGAGAATGTATTTTTTTTGTTTTTTTAGTTTTTCGGCGGACACAACATCTTTGTTTGTATGTGGTGCTGAGGATCTAACCCGGGCCGCACGCATGCCAGGCGAGCCCCCCTTTTTGTTTTTTGAGACAGTGTCTCACTAAGCCGCTGAGACTGGCTTTGAATCTGTGATCCTCCTACTCAGCCTCCTGAGCTGCTGGGATTACAGGCCTGAGCCACCACACCTCACTCCAATTAACTCTTGAGGAACGGAGGTGTAAGAGCTTTCACTTCATGTTGCTCATGGGTGAAAGGGCTAGGATTCAAGACCAGTGCCATCTGACTGTACTTTAAGGAAAGAAGGAAGAGGACCCAAGAGGAAGGAGGAAGCAAGGAGAGAGGAGGCTATGGTGGGTGACACCTCTGATGGCCCAGGTTGGGTACCTGCTGTAGCCCATTTGCCCACAGGCTGTCTTGGCCAGAGTTTCTGTGAAGTTGTCGAAACAGGCAGAGGCCCAGTTCCCTGTGGCCGGGTCCAGCACCTGCAGGGTGGATCGGTCCTTGGAGAGTCGGACTGGGAGGGGAGGAACCTGGATCAGCTGGAGCATGGGACCCCTCTGGCCCAGTCCCCCAGAACTCATGAGACTAGCCCAAGCTCCCCAACCAGAAATGAGGACACTATGGGCACTGATGCTTTTAACATCCTGGGAAGTTCCTCCATTTGACTGTCTGCTTGACCCTCATTTTGACAATGGCCAGGGTTAATGTCCCAGGGTCAATCTTCATCATCATTCTGCCCTGTTTCCCTGACACAATGGTTAATAGCACCCCCTTTGGCTGATATAGGCACCAGTTGTTTTATTTATTTATTTATTTTTGGTACTGGGGATTGAACCCAGGGGTGTTTTACCACTGAGTCACATCCCCAGCCCTTTTAATTTTTTAATTTTGAGACAGGGTCTCACTAAATTGCTTAGGCCTTGCTAATTTGCTGAGGCTGACCTTGAACTTGTGATCCTCCTGTCTCAGCTCCCTGAGTGGCTGGGATTATTGTGTGTGCCACCATGCCCAGCTTAGGTGCTCAGTTGTGTGGTCACTCTGCCCCTGGTCCACACAGCTTGCCTGGCCTCGGGAAACTTCACAGCCAGGGACCTAAGTACTTCTCCACTTGAGGTCAAAAGGGGAGGTTGAGTGAGAAGTTCTATTAGCAGTAGGGTGACAGTTGCCTGGAGGCATTTGGCTTTAATGAAAAAGAGCAAATATAAAGGATGCCACTCAGGGCTGGGGATGTGGCTCAAGAGGTAGCGTGCTTGCCTGGCATGCGCGCGGTGCTGGGTTCGATCCTCAGCACCACATACAAATAAAAAAAAATGTCCACTGAAAACTAAAAATAAATATTAAAAATTCTCTCTCTCTCTCTTAAAAAAAAATTAAAAAAAAAAAGGATGCCACTCAGTCCTGCCTCTTGAAAGTCCCCATCACCCACATCCTGGGTTTTTTCTCTTCAGACCTCAAGTACCAGATGCATTGAGCTGGGCTAGGCCAGTCAAAGTCATGGGTTTTTGCTTCTTTCAAGGACTGAGATCCTTCCCAATATACAGCATGTTACAATAAGCACTAATGACTAGAAGGATCATTAGTAGGTTTATGGTCTGGCAATCTCTTTTCTAATCACCTTGAAATAACAGATTTCACGGAAATCCGGTCAAAACCTAGCAGGTGCAGCAGGAATGCGCAGGCTCAGGGACAATTTTCTGTGTCTTCTGGTCCATGTTTTGTCCATTGACCAGCGTCTGAGTGTATGCCAGGTGTGTAGTGCTGGAATCTAAAGGTGGTCATGACATGGTCCTGCGCTCCTAAAGCTTATTTGGCAGGGATAGACATTGACAAGTCAGTGTGCAGACCCTGTACAGTGACCCTGGACACCTGAGCTGGCTCCCTGCTGTGCCCATTCCCTTGCCCCTCAGCCCATGAACTCACCTCCCACCGCAGGCCTCTCAGGGAAGTCCTTGACACAGGGCTCCTCATCTTCTCCTGAGGCACAGTCCGGATGTCCATCACACATCTGTGTCCTCGGGAGGAAGTGCAGGGGGTGGCCGCAGATGAAGTAGTATCTATCCAGAATCACCTTGACTGGAAGGCAAGTGCAGGGAGAGGCCCAGAGGACTGAGGGTCAAGCAGGCTGCCCTGGGCAGGGAGAGGCTGTTTTTTCCTACAAGTAGTTCTGAGCTCAGAGGCCGGCAGATGGGGGTTCCAGGCCCGGGTCTGCCATGCAGTAGCAGATACGCCTGGTTCCTTAGCTATCAAGCAGAGATTATACTGGCCCATGTCTACGTGATGGCCCTGGAGTCCCGTCAGAATGTGTGTGTGGGAAATTGAGAATCTGACTCTGTCAACTGTTACCCCTCAGGTGATGAAGGAGGAGGCAGAATGGGGGACTTGGGGTCCCAGGACATGGTTCTGAGTCCTGGTTCTGCCACTTGCTGTGCATCTTCTCAGGAACTCCTCCCCCTGCTAGGCCTCACTTTCCTCCTCCACACAACGGGACGGTAACCCCTATCTCACAGGCTGTGGAGAACATGTGGCCAGCTGGTCGTTGTGAAAGTACCTTGTAACTCTCAGGTACAGCTTGAGAGGTGGGTGTTTTTATCGGGGGTTTGAAAGACCCATGAAGAGGTCTGTGCTTGGTTTTGTTTTCTGACTGCTGTCTTAGGATTCTGCCAGCTGCCTTCACCTTCGGTTGGTTGCTCCTTTGCCTTCTTGGGCTGACAGAAATGTGTTTGGTTATTAACCTCTTAGGGAACAGATGTTTTGAGAAGTGTCTCTGGTGATGATTCCCAACCAAACACCCTGGCCGAGGGGAGCTCTTCTTTTCTAGGTGCGCTGCCTCCAGTCCAGAATCAATCTCGACTCGTTCTGGGAGTGGTGATGCTGATTCTGTGACAGTTCCCACTTATCACACTGTACTGGGAGTTTTCCAAACTGTTGATCACAAATCCCAGGAACAACCTTAGGAGGCTGGTGCAATTACTGACTCTCATCCCTGAGAGGGAAACTGAGGATGGAAGAGTTAGCGTTTCTTCCCAAGCCCATGCCTTGCCTCTATGGTTCAGCCAGCCACTGTCTGCCTCCCAGAAGATGCACAAGGTGTGAGGGGCTGGCCTATTGCCTGCCTGGCTTCCCGCAGATAAATTGGCCTCTTCTCTCCACTGTGGCAGGACATATGCTCAGAGGAAATAAGCTCACTTTAATATTTAGACTGAATTAAACAGGCTGGTAAATCTGCTGATACCACTGCAAAACCACCACTTTAAGTTGTATATGAAATGTCCCCCCAAAGGTCCCTATGTTGAAGGCTTGGTCCCAGGGTGGTGCTATTGGGAGGTGGGATCTAGTGGGAGGTCTTTAGGTCATCGAGAGCATGACTCTGAAGGGAATCATGGGAGCCAGGTCCCTTCTTCTTCTTTTGCTCCCTGGATCATGATGTATGTGATGCCAGGTGTTTCCCCCATGATGTGCTACCTCACCACAGGCCCAAAGTGGTAAGGTCAATTGATCATGGACTTGAACCTCTAAAACTGTGAGCCAAAATAACCCCTTTCTCTTTACAAATTGATGATCTTGGGTGTTTTGTTATAGAGATGGAAAACTGACTATGTAATCATAATCATGTCAGGCCAGCCAACATGATTTCAAGAAGAAATGTTTTGGAGTTTTCTGCCTCTCACACACATTCAGGCTCCCAGTGATCTGGGTGGTGTTTATATTGTGGATCTGCATTTCCAGTGCCACGAGATGGAAGTGGACTTGCTCAGTCAGGGGCCTGGGGTCCTGCTCCAGTTCTTCCCTGATTGTTACACCTCCTCTTGCACCCTCAGTATAGAATGAAGGGTTGGACCAGAGGATCTCGGAGTGTTTTCCAAAGGGGTAGTGACTGCTGCCGCAGCAAAAGCCACCATGGTAACAAGTACAGACTCCCTAAGGGCCAGCCATTCCCAGGCTGTCCAGACAGTCCTGCCCTAGTTAGCAAGCACATGGCCTGCATCCTATCTCTGCATGCTGTGTGGTGACACATGCTTTTGCAAAACTTGGTTTTTATCTAGGTCCTTTGTGCATGTGATCTCGGTGGTGCTCACCATACTGCTTGAAGAAAGGCAGAACATTTATAGGTAGAGTCGGGATGACTGTCCCAGGTGTCCTGATTCTTACTCTCATCTCTGGTGCCCTACACCCTGCTGTTCACAGCCATGGTCAGTTCCCTGCTGTGACAAGGGGGTTGGTGAAGGCAAGGACTCAGTCTCAAAGTGTGGCCACTAGAAGGGACTGTGGGAATCACTGCTCATTCAGTGATCTTTGTTACCAAGTGGGCTGCTCAAGGTCACACTGGGTCTCAGGCAATGATGAAGACAGGGCTTTAGGGGGGAGGGGCACCTGCTAGGCAGTGTTCCCTCGCCTCCTCCCTTCTTCCCTCCTCACAGGCAGAGATGCTTTCTGTCCTTCCAGCCAGGAGGCTGCTCAGATCAACTCAGCATCAAGCTGCAGGGGCTGGGAAGGAGGGGGCGGGGCAGGCTTGCGTGGGCTAGTAACATGGGCCACGTGTGTAGCGGAACTTCTATCTGGGATAGAAGCCATCTGGGAGAGATGGGGGCGAGTTCAATTCCCCTTTCACTCTTGGAAGAAGGCTGTCTTCAAAGCAGGGGCGGATACATGTGGAGGCACCTTTTTTTTTTTTTAAGGCAAAGCTTTATGCAGATCACCTGCCTGTAACTGTGGGGGTGGGAGGGTGGAGGCTGTGGGTGGGGGCTGTCACTTACTGAGGGATGGGGGCGGTTTGAGGGCTGCCACTTATTGAGGGGGTGAGGGAGGGTACCGTCACCTGCTTAGGGAAAGAAAGTTGGGTAGGGCCTGTCACTTACTGAGGATAACCACAATGACGATAGTCGCCAGGCTCAGCAGTACTGCGATGATGGGGATCCCCACCTTTTTGAAGTTCTCCAGGGGAGTGCGGGGTTTGCGCAGGGTGGTGGCATCTGTAAGGAGGTGTGAGGAGGGCAAGAGTGTGCAGTCAGTGCTTGGAGCCCGCCCCGCCAAGGCCCACAGCTCCCACCCTCTGGCCTGTGGCAGGAATGCCTTGGGGACAGTTTTGGTTGATGCTGGGGGCTTGATCAGCACTCGGCCACCCACCTCCTCTGACCTGGGCTCACCCATCTTTCATAAGTGCTCCTGAAATGAGCCCGCAGCCCATCTGCCTCCCCCTCGTCTTGCCCTAACCGGTTCTGGGATGTGTCACCCTGTTTGGTCTGAACTGTGCCTGCCTTGGGAGAGGCCAGTCCCCTGGGGCATGTACTTGAGCCCATCCTCATTTATTGTGCTATCATTTACCCTTTTCCTGACTTGTCTTTCTTTGTATATCTTTTTATTTTTAATTGACACACAGTAATTGTACATATTTATGGGGTATAGCATGGCATTTCAGTACATGTATGCAATATATAAGGATCAGACTGGAGTAATCGACATACCTGTCATCTTAGACATTTAGCATTTCTTTGTGCTGGGAACATTCAGGATCCTCTCTGCTAGCTCTTTTGAAATATAATTGTTGTCAACCACAGTCACCGTACTGAGCTATAGAACAGTAGATATGATTTCTCCTATCTAGCCACACCCAACTTATCTTCTGAATAAAATAGAAGCTCCGGGAGGGCAGAGGCCTTCAGCACAGTGAACGCTTAATAGATGCTTAATAAATAAAATCTTGTGCACCCTGACAGCCTCCATCTCCAAGTCAAACCAACAAACAGTGAGTCCCCAGCATGGCCCTTGTCTTTAAGGAGATTGCGATTCAGAGAAGAGAAAAACAGGAAGACAGTGTACGTGACTAGAGACATGGCCAAAAGCAGACTGAGGAGGGCTTCCCGAGCAGGTGGCGCTTAGATATAGGTAGAAAGGAGGACCTGGACCCTGCGCCAGCCCCAGCACAGGCATGGAGGTGGAGAACCATGAGGGGGTGGGGTCCTGGAATCTGAGGTGTCAAAGCATGTCAGGAGGGAGGATAGTAAAGTCAGTTTGTGGAGACTCTCAAAACCATGCTTAGGCTGGGAGCAGTGGCACATGCCTATCATCCCAGTGGCTTGGGAGGCTGAAGCAGGAGGATCCCAAGTTTGAGGCCAGCCTCAGTCATTTAGTGAGACCCTGTCTCAAACTAAAATAGAAAAAGGGCTGGGGATGTGGCTCAGTGGTTAAGTGTTCCTGATACCAAAAAAAAAAAAAAAAAAGGTGCTTAGGTGTTTGAGTTTGAATTTTTATCTTGAAAGTGGTGAGTAGCCATGGAAAGTTTTTGAGCAGTGAAGAGACATGATAAAATTAATATTTAGAAAGAGGAATCTTTTGCTGGGGAGTTGATGAATTGGAACAAAAGATCCTGGGATCAGGGAGCAGTTAGGAGTCCTTCACTGCCTAGAACAGGGGTAATAATAACTCCGTGTCCATTTCACATGGCTATACAAGGAGATGGGACTTGGGAACAACTGGGAAATGCTAGATTTTCAGGAAGTAAGAGGTAGCAGAGATAGGTCCTTTTCAGTCCCCTGTCCTTGTGGGCCATAAGCTGAAGGGGTGCAGGGACCTCCTCTCTGGGGAGAGCTGGAACAGGAATTTGGGCACCCTGAGAAACCTGAGAAAGTGATAGGCCTCCCTCCTGCCCTGGACCCCATGTGACTTACTCTCTCATCCTCATTAAGTCTGCAGTCTTAGTGAGGCCTTTCTTGGTCTCCCTACCTAAAATGAAACCTTCTAGCATTTTCCATCCTCCTTCCATGTTTTCTTTTTTCCAAAAGCGCTTATCCTCTCTAACATACTCTACATTTTGTATGTTTTGTGTATTTTCTGTCTCTTCTACCTGTACCTGTAATGAAGACTCCAGGAGATAGGCCTTTGTGTCTGTTGTGTGCACTGATGAGTCCTAGGTCCCCAGAAGGGTGCCTGCCCCGCCGCAGACACTCCACTATTTGTCCAATGAACAAAGGAATTGCTCTCGACTGTTCCTGTAAGCACACCCTTCCATCTTTCTTCCAGGTCTCATTTTATTCTGCCTTAAATGGTAGCTAGTCAGGTGTCTGGCTGTATCCTTCTCTTCAGCTCTTCAAAAGCAAAGAGACTGCCAGAGACTGGTGTCCCATAAATGCTGATAGTAATGACTCTGCTGGTAAGGGAAAGCTGAAAATTTATGTTTCCATAAAAAAGCGTATTCACCTTAGCACCAAGTAGCTTATCAATAATATGAGCTGATATCATCATTTTTCAATGTTCCACAAGCCAAGCTGTTCTCTTTTCTGTGTGCATGGAAATGTTTCACAGAGGCATTCATTCATTCAGCATGATTAGGCCTGAGCCCCTACTTCTGGAGGCAGGAGATGGCTTGTTTTCTAGGAGAGCAAATGACCTATCCTGTGTCCAGGGCTCAAGGCCTCTGCCTCCTGGGCATTCTCAGGAAGGTCCTGCTCCCCTCATCAGGAAGGGAAGGGACTTCATACTTAGTTCAGATTCCAGAACCCACGGAGCTAGGAATGGCCTCCCTGCCTGCTGCTGTATTTTCCTTCAATCTTGCCCGTTGCTGCTGGACAGAGCTTCATAAAAGCTGGCTTTGGGCCTGTTGCTTTCCCCTTGAGAACTTATCACAGATCCTTACAGCTTGCGCATCTGGACCACGCTCCTGTCTGTGCTTTCTAAACCAGGGTGATTTGGCCTTGCTCTCCAGTGGGCTTCTACTGCTAGTCCCCACCAGCTCCCAGCTCTGCCCAGACACGGTTGTTCCTTGGTTCTGGAATGACTGGTATTAATTCTCACCTCTGCCTCTACGAGCTCGGGCCCTTCCCTCCTCCACTGAGACTCGTCACTCTCTTCTGCCCCTAAGAGGCTACTCATCCTGCAGGGACTGGCCCAGGCACTCTGCCTGACCCCTGGAGCAGCACTGATCTTTCTGGTTTGGTAGTTCTCAGGCTTATTCAGGGGGTGAAGCACTGGGAAGCTTGGTGTAGTGTTCCTGGGGGACACCATGGCCTCTGATACATTAATTCCAAAGTACAAACTAGGTGCTGTTTTTTATTTGCTGAAGATTCCATTGATTGTGAACATTATTAACTTGTGACCCTCAACTGAGAAAAAAGCTAACTAAGCAGGATTGAATATTTTCTTAATGATCTGTGCATATTAATCTGTTCCTTGCTCATTTGTTTTGCTGTTCTAGCAGGCTATCAGAAGTAGGTATCAATGGTTTAAGAAGGTGTAAAGGGTTGACTGGGGTTGTGGCTCAGAGGTAGAGTGCTTGCCTTACATGTGTGAGGAACTGAGTTTGATCCTCAGCACCGCATAAAAATAAATGAACAAAATAAAGGTATTGTGTCCATCTACAACTAAAAGTATTTTAAAAAAGAAGATGTAATGGAAGGAAAAAACCCTTAGATTTGAGAATATTCTGCTTATTACCTTATCTTTCTCCTAAAATTAGGCATTGCCACTTTCTTTTCTACATGTGAAAACACTGGTGTCCAGATGGTTTCTTGTTAGCATGGACATGCTGTGAACTCCATGAGGATAAGGACCTTGCTTACTGCTGAAGCCCAGCATCAGCCCAGGGCCTGGCACAAGGAATGAATTGGGGGATCATTGTTCCTGGGACTGTGGTTTGTGGGTTCTATTTCCCCAGACCAGGCCTCCTACTTCTAGAATGAATCCTGAAATTCACTGGTACTTAATGCTTGTTGAATGATGGCTGGATGAGGGATGGATGACACCCACAGCAGTTAGCACTTGGGATAGATGGTAACGGCCACGCAAGGGTGGCTCAGTATCTACTTGGTAACTGAAGCAGAAGCTGAAGGAGACATAGGGAAGCCAGACTTGAGCTTACCGGGGCTGTTCAGGGGTTGGTTACTGCCAGGATCCTGTAAATTAAAGGAAAAACATTGAGTTGAGTCGGGGAACTCCTCAGACCAGGGCTGACAGCTTAGGGGAGAGTCTTGGTTCATCTGTGTCCTCTTCTTCCTGCTAGGTCTAAGTTGGAGTTGCCTGGATTACTTGAGGTAGGTATTACAAGGACTGGGAGGGAAAGCTCCTTCCTTCCTTTCATTCCCAGTGCAAATCTAGCCTGCTAGAGGGACATCTTGCCCATTGGTGTCACTGGGCCAGGGATGACTGGCTGGAAGACTGGCTGATGTAGCTGGAGTCTGCAGGGGCTGAGTAGGAACACAGGCTCTACTTCCTGTTAACTGTGTGCCTCAGAAAGTTTCTGAATCTTTGTGAGCCTCAGATTTACCCTCCAAAAAGTGGGGGGGGAAAACACCTACCTCAGAGGGCTCCTGGGAGGATGAAATGAGTCATGTGGTAGAAAGTGCTAGACACACATGTGCCTCTCCTCCAGTCTCCGTGCTTCTATGCACTGGTACATGTTTTTACCACAGCACATTTCTTTTTTCTTTTTCTTTATCTTTTTTTTTTGGTGGTGGGGATTGAACCCAGGGCCTTGTGCATGCAAGGCAAGCACTCTACCAACTGAGCTATATCCCCACGCAAAGCACATTTCTTGATGGGTGGTCACTGGTTTTTTTTCTCTCTCTTCTTTATTTGGTTGATTTTCTTTTTTATTTAATTTAATTTAAATCGACAAATAATAATTCTGTTTGTCACTCTTTCCTATTGCCTTTTTAACCTTAGTGTTTGGCATTGGGCTTGTACTTAGTAATGACTCAATAAATGACTTGAACCTAATGGCTGTCTAGACTCTGCACCTTAGCTGGTTCCCAGCTGCCTTTTCTCAGTCATCACCCATGCTGGATGGAGGGGGCAGGTGGGAACATGTTAGGGGTGTTGGAGGAACTGCATAGAGATTGGCATGGTTTACCAGGTGAGATGATGCATGCCTGTAATCCCAGCGATTTAGGAGGCTGAGGTAGGAGGATCACAATTTCAAGGCTAGCCTTAGCAACTTAAAGACACCGTCAGCAACTTAGCAAGATTCTGCCTCAAAATAAAAAAAATTAGAAGTGCTGAGGAGTTGCTCAGTAGTAGAGTGCCCTGGGTTCAATCCCCAGGAGAGGGGAGGAGGCAGAGAGAGAGTTTGGCATGGCTGGAGAGGGAGGTGAGGTCAGGAGAGAGGAGGAGGCTAGGGGTAGAAAGACTCCACACATGTTTGAGAGATAAAGACAACGGGCATTGCCAATGCACTGGATGCCCTTGGGTAAGGGTGTCTGCTGAGATGTTGAAGGCCAGAGGGGGACTGGTTGGTAGGATTCTAAGAGCATCTGTCTAGTGGGTCCTTCCCTATCATATCTTCTTTTCCACGGAGTCACCTGGGCATACATGCCTGGATTACTTGAGGTAGGTAGTACAAGTATTTTTTTCTTTATTGTTAATTCAGCGAACATCTGCTGTACCCTTTGATGGACCAAAAATTGTGCTAGAAGCTGACACACAGAGGGAACAGAAAGCTTACCATCGGCACCTCCCTGGGCCTTCCCTCTTCACGGAAAGCTCAAGTGACCCAGTCCCCAACAGTGGCTAATGTTTCCAGCTGTTGTCCACTGAAGACATTACTTTCCTGTGTTCATATATCAATACATGTCCACATCATGTACAACCACAAGAACAGGAAACATTCCACATCCATTTGCAAACAATAGAGAAAGAAAAAAAAGTGAAACAAATCCAAACTGTACACTGGAATGACAGGGACTATTAATGTCTTGTTAATCATGACATCCTCAATGTCTCCTGCAAGGCACAGAATATAGTGAGTGTTGACTAAATATTTGTTGAATGAGAAAATTCATGAACCTATCTTAGTTTTATTATTCAGACTCAGACCAGCCTTCAAGAAACCAACTGTGGTATAATTGCACACTAAAATATTATGTGTTAGTCAAAAGAAATGAACAACAGTGACATGAAATAGTATAGATGGCATTAGCAATTTAACACTGAGGAGAAAAATAAGCCCCCAAAGATTACAGATAGCTCAGAATCTCTTTCATTAAGAAGCAAGGTATTGATGAAGGTGGGATTTGGGATGAGTGAGTCTAGCAAAATTCCTGCCTTGTATATCAAAGATGTACATTCAAATATACTTTCAAGAAAAGATAGCCTCTTCAACAAATGGTGCTGGGACAACTGGAAATCCATATGTAGAAAATGAAATTTAACCCCTATCTCTCACCCTGCACAAAACCCAACTCAAAGTGGATCAAGGAACAAGGCATTAGACCAGAGACACTGGTCCGGTTCTCCATCATGTCAGCTTAGGAACTGACTTCCTAACAAGACTCTTAAAGTGCAAGAAGTAAAATCAAGAATCAATAAATGGATGGCATCAAACTAAAAAGCTTCTTCACAGCAAAGGAAATAATCAGGAATGTGAAGAGACAGCCTACAGAATGGGAGAAAATTTTTGCCACCTACACCTCAGCTAGAGCATAAATCTCCTAAAGAAATAAAAAAACTTAACACCATAAAAAAAAAACCCAATCAATAAATGGGCAAAGGAAACAAATAGGCACTTCAGAGAAGAATATGAATGGCCCACAAATATATGAAAAAATGTTCAACATCTCTAACAATTAGAGAAATGCAAATTAAAACTACTGAGATTCCATTTCACTCCGGTCAGAATGGCAATTATCAAGATTACAAGTAGCTGTAAATGTTGGTGAGGATGTGAGGGGAAAGGTACACTCAAACATTGCTGGGGGACTGCAAATTGGTGCAACCACTATGGAAAGCAGTATGGAGATTCCTCAGAAAACTTGGATGGAACCACCATTTGATCCAGCTATCTCACTCCTCTGCGTATACCCAAAGGATTTAAAATCAGTGTACTACAGTGACACAGCCACATCAATGTTTATAGCAGCTCAATTCACAAGAACTAAACTATAGAACCAACCTTGAAGCATTTCAACAGATAAATGGATAAAGAAATTGTGGTACATATGCACAATAGAATATTTCTCAACCATAAAAAATAATGACTTTATGACTTTTGCCAGTAAATGGATGGAACCGGAGACTATCATGCTAAGTGAAATAAGCCAATCCTCCCAAACCAAAAAAGCAGAATATTCTCTCTGATATGCAGATGCTAACACATAATAAGGGGGGAGGGAAGAACAGAAATTCATTGGATTAGATAAAGGGGAATGAAGGGAAGGGAGGGAGGATTGGAATAGGAAAGACAGTAGAATGAATTGGACATTACTTTCCTGTGTTCATATATGAATACATGTCCACCTCATGTACAACCACAAGAAAAGGGTCTTAATTAGAATAAATTATACTTCATTTATGTATAATAATGCCAAAATACACTCTATTGTCATGTATATCTAAAAAAATAAAAATGTACATTCAGTATTTATTGAATTAATACACAAGAGAGACCTACTACTACTTCAGGAGGGGATGCATGTACCTAGGAATGGGGAGGAGGGATTCCAGGACCGAATGAAAGTCATTCTCTAAGTCCTGGCCTTTGTTGGGGCTGCTGGGTTTATGGAGGCTAACTACATTGTTAAATCAGCAACAAGCAAGTAGGTTAATAGTGAAAATAGTGCGTGGGTCAGTAGTGAAAAATGTCATGAATTGAAGGTGCTGATCTAGGCAATGCTATGCACCCAAGATTCAAAGGGAAAGTAAAAAGCCACCCCCTGCCTGTGCTGAGTGGTCAGGGGAGGTCAAATGCTTGTCCTCACAGTGCTTTCCCCTGTCTCAAGTGCAGCCTGAATCTTTTCATTTAGTGACTCATTCTTTGGCTTTTCTTGAAGCTCTTGGACAAACATCTCTGATGCAGAGGGATCAGAGATGATGGGAAGGGGAGCTGCTGAAGGCCAAGGGTACCAGGGCTAATCGCCGGGGGGAGGTAGGAGCATTCAGGCCTGCAAGCGGTGATTGGGGACCATCTATGTTAGAGAATTCTGGAACAGGACAGAAACAGGAACTCACAGCTAGCCCCATTCCTTTTAGCCTAGAATCAATCCTGAGCCTAGGAAAGGAGAGAATGCAGCTGAGACACGTGGGTACCAGATGAGATATGGAAATCCAGTCACCTTCCATCACTCTGGTGGGTCCCTGCCACCATGACAGGGATGCAAAGTTGAAAAGGTCTCTAGAGACCATTCCAGACAACTCCACCTGAGGCCAGACAGGGAAGTGTCTTGCCTAGACCAACTGTGCACCTTTGCTTTGCTGGAAACATCTTAGTTTATCCTTAACTTGAACTCAGCCCCTGCTCACAACTGCCACAGGTCAGCCCCAGCCCAGGCCAAGCAACCTTGGCAGAATTCCCCTTCTGTGTAAGATGCGGTCTGGGCCAGGCCCGTCGGCTGTTGATTCAGTCTACTGCAGGGCCCTGACTCATGGGCCTCCTCTAGCCCAAGTCTAACCTGGGGCTCAGCTGGGAATCCAGCCCCTGCTGTGTGGAGCGCTGTGGAAAGGCAGGAATGCTCAGGCCCTCAGGGCCCAGGAAGACCCAAGCCAGAGAAGGTGGAGGGTGAGGTGGAGATGGGATTAGGCAGGTGTTTGATGGTTGAGAACACCTGCCATCACCCGATGAGCTCAGAATCTTCCTTCTCTGCTTCTTGATTAGTCATTGGCAGCAGAAAGACATTAATCTAGGACCCAAATGTGGAGGCAGAACAATTATCTACTGCAGTTAGGTATTGCTATATAGCTTACAATATCCTTTTTTTCCCCATAAATTCTCTCTGATTTAATCCTTGGAACAACCTAGAGAAATTTTCCCCATTTAACAGAAGAAGAAACTGAGGCTCATGTACCTGAGGTGGCTGCTATGGCTTCAGAGAAAGTGCATGAAAGACCCAGCCTCCTGCTGGGCTTCTGGACCCAGGGGACTGTTTTCATTTCCCTGAGGAACCCATCTGGGCAAGGGTCATCG